CTTTTTGCAACAGCAGAGATAAAGGAAGCCATTGTTACGATTCCAAATGTCAGGAGAGGATTAGGAGAAAAAGAGTTGATGGAGATCCAAGAAGATAAGTTCAATGAGAGATTAATTGGAAGAGGAAAATCAGAGGGAAATTAAGTGAAAACATAGAAGACATGCTTGTCCTTCCCTCTTCCTTTTATTACATTTCCTTCATATAAAAAGTCATGCCTATTTGTATTGTAGAGGCTTGAGTAGTTCTCAAAGTGAGATTACCAAAAATACAGGGAAGGCTGACTTAAAAAAAAAAACAAAAAGTACAGGGAAGGCTTTACCTACTCCATTACATTTTTTTTTTTTATACCCTTTCTCCTAGCAGAAATGCTTAACTCACTCATCCTTTAATTTTCCCTTTTATTGGGCTAGTTTTTGACTTGGTACTTCACCGAGTGATGGAAGCAATTTCTACCTAATAATGGTTGTGTAGTGTTAATTATATTGAAATACATAATTTAAATAATTAAATAAAAAATAAGTCTCATAGTATTAAAAATTATTTTCTTATTTAATATATAATTTTTATTTTACACTCACAATTAATACCGCACAACAGGAAATTCACATCTCCATCGGACATGTTTATTTCCACCGTCAACGTGGCCTTTTCTCTGCCATGTAATGTATTTGTGGCTTCCAAATTTCTTCTTGTACTCATCAGGCATACGCCAGGGTTCTTATCGCGGACGTCGAAGACAAATTAAGTCAGTCTTCTACCAGGAAAATGATGCTGATAACGACCATGGTGGGGTAAAATCTCAAAACGAATACCAGTATTGTTGCTCCATACAATGAGTTTGCCATAATTGGACCTACCGAGAAAATGGAGGCCCAAAAAGCATCAGTCACTCCCTTGTTACATTATCACCCTACCCCTTTTAGTCAGACTGACTTTTTAAACAAGAAGAAAAAAAACAAAGAGTGAGATTGATGTGTCACAACACCAAGTATAAATCGTTTTAGCACCGAAGGTTGCATATGATTGTCTTATAAATGAATCATCTTCACATCATTGTTTGATATGTCCTCCTTAAATCCAAATTCATGGATAGGCCCATAATCCGAATTCATTCGTCAAACAACAACGGCCTACTAACTTTAACATACTGGACTTGAGAGCCGTTAGTAAAACTCCACCCTTGGAGCAGCGGGTCACCACCGGCCCTTGAGGATGCTTACGAGGGCCCTCTTCCACCCTTCCCCCACATAGACTCTCTTTTTTTTTTTTTTGGGTAAAAAAAGGAGGTTGTAACTGAAAAATTAAAAGGAAATGTTATTTACAGTTCAAACCATAACAAAACAATTATTAATTTTAGGGAAGAAAGGCCTCACATTGGGGGATCATCTTCTTCCATGGTTATAATTGTGCACTAAAAATTTATTTATATATAAATTTTATACATTATATTTATATAAAGATTTAATCATTTTTTTTTATTTTTAATAGTTGAGATTTACATATTTTTTAGATGAAGAAGATAATCAACTTTAATAAATATAAATAAATCTAACTATTAAGAGTAAAAAAATAAATAATAGAGATTTTATATAAATATAATGTGTAAAATCTATGTATAAGTGAATTTCTTTTTAATATATATTATCTTATTTTGTAATTTAATTACACTAAATTACAAATCAAAATTTATTAAAGGAAGGAATTTAATATCAAGTGGTTTGTTCCTTTCTAATAATAAATTGTGTAATTTTATACAATACAAACTATGTAATACTTTATATATATACATATATATGTATATATGTATATTATTAGTACCAAGCATGTGTTCACCGAAGATACTCAAAACCAACAAATAAAGGTACACACATTACATCATACCAAACACATCCAGTTGTTGCAGTTCAAAATTATTATCTTATCTTGTACCCTCTATATGTAGGGTTGGGTAAACGGTAGATTATCTAAATAAGTAATTAAAAATTGTTAAAAAATTAACTAAATAGTTAGATGTAGATGGTTATTAGTTTTTTATTTTTTATTTTTTATTTTTATATTTAGTTAGATAACCAAAAAAAATTAGTTAGTTAATGGTTAAAGAGTTGAAAATCCAAAACCGAATATATAACTAAAAAATAAAATTTTATATTAAGAAATATTATAAATAAATATAAAATCATTTTATTTAATTTCATTTTTAAGTTTTACTTTATAAATGTTATTATAATTTAGTATTTAAAATATATTTAAAAGTAAAAAGATAAAACTCAAAATTTTTATTTTTTTCTCATTTATTCATTTTTTTGTATTTTGTTATATTTATATTTCTTAAAATTTTCAAAATTTGGTTAAATATGTTTATTATTAAACTTGAAATAAGCATCAATGTTGATTTGGTTATAATCGATCATTGAAATATTAAATCGATTATTTTGGTTATCGAACCAAAAAATTCATGAAGAATTTAGTCCAATTTTGGTTAGTAAAAATGAAAAAAAAAATGAATAATTGAAAATTCAATATGCTTTGTCATATTAATTCACTTTATATAAAAAAGAAATAAGAATGGGTTTTATTCTGTTAAAAAAAAAAAGAAGGGGTTTTATAGTGCAGTGTGTTTTGTGGGGATGTGGCGCTGGGGCAGTATGGGATAAAAGTAAACTGTCTTTCGCCATTTGGGGTGGGTGGCAACTCGGATGCTGACAGAAGATGGCGAAAGAGAGAGCAGAGAAGGCAAGGCAGCAATCCTGAAGGGAACTGAGTTGCACAAGCTGCTCTGCATCTAGCAAGTAAGAAGCCTTAGGTGGGTGGTTTAACTTTCAAGTGCTTTAATTTTTTGATATTATTTATATTTTATAAATTTTAATTTTTTTTATTTAAAAAAAATTTCAAATAATAAAATTTTAAAAATTTTAAATCTAAATTTTTTATTATTTTTTATTTTTTTTACTTTTTTTATCTTTAAAAATAATTTAAAAATTTTTTTAATAAAAATTTAAATTTATCACTTATAAATAATAAAAACATAAAAATTTTTACAAATTAACACAAATATATTCTAAATATGTGAGCGGAATCAACTAGGTGGTGGATGGAGTTTATAGTCTCCCTACCAATTCCTCCTTCAGAAAAGGGGTCAGAACTCTTGTTTTTTTTCCTTTTTGAGCTCTTGAGGAAAACAGAGATGCTCTGTTTTCTATTTTTAATTCATTTTCTTTTTTTTTTTAATACT